GCAGCTCGAGCTTACGATCCAGATCAGTTCGGTGAGGACTCGGATGCCAGGGAGGACTCGATCCACAACGCTATATAGAGCACAATCGCGGCATGGCACATCGCAATTCAGCACGGCCCAGCACAGCACAGCCGTCGGCACGGTACATCAAGATCGATACACTCAACTATGCACTTTGGCGCGTTCCGTGGCGAGTCCACCTGGCACGTCGCGCGGCGCGTCCCCTGGCACGTCCCTCGGCAGGTCCATTGGCACGTTCCGTAGCGCGTCCCCTTGGCACGTCCCGCGGTGCGTCCCCATGGCACGTCCCCTGGCACGTCGCCTGGCGCGTCCCTTGGTTCGTTACGCGGCGCGTCTTCCTGGCATGTTCCCTCTGTCGATTAGTTCTGGGGCAGCTACCATCTGCTCAGGCAGCTCGAGCTTACGCTCCAGATCAGTTCGGTGAGGACTCGGATGCCAGGGAGGACTCGATCCACAACGCTATATAGAGCACAATCGCGGCATGGCACATCGCAGTTCAGCACGGCGTAGCACAGCACAGCCCTCGGCACAGTACATCATCATCGATACATTCAGCATTGCATGTGCCCGTCGCCCAATGAGGTGACTTTGAAATGCTGCAATGCCTTACATTTCTATATTCCTTCCCAAGTTCGTGGGTCGATCATGTTTTTTTGGGGGGGACGGGTTCGGAACCCCCAGTGACCCCCCCCCGGTTTTCCGCCAGCAGCGGTAGAACACGCTCTTTCATATATGGGGCCACGAAGGGCTGCAACGGGGCCACGAAGGGGAGCGAGGGGGCCACGAAGAGCTGCAACGGGGCCACGAAGGGGAGCAACTGGGCCACGACGGGCAGCGAGGGGGCCACGAAGGGCTGCAACGGGGCCACGAAACAAAGCGAGGGGGCCACGAAGGGCTGCAACGGGGCCACGAAACAAAGCGAGGGGGCCACTAGGGGGCGCAACGGGGCCACGAAGGGCAGCGAGATCCCGATTCCTAGGTAATCTGTGAGGGAGTCCTAAGCGTGAGCGCGACTCCTGGGTGCCTGGGTGTCGGGAGCGTGGCGCCTGAGTAAATTGCAAGAAATTCCAACGCAAGGGCGCTATTCGTAAGTAAATTGCCAGCAAATCTCCAGCGAGAGCGCGACTCCAGAGAGCGGGAAAGCGATTCCTGAATACATTGTAAAGAAGTCCCAAGCGAGAGTGCGATTCCTGACTGAAATGCGAGTATGTCTCGGGCGGGAGCGGGGGTCCTGGCTAAATTGTGAGGAAGTCTCAAGCGGGAGCCGTTGTTGTTGTAACCTGGGGGCCAGGGGCCCAGTTTGAGCATCAAGACATTTCCTGCCAAAAAGCAGGGTGCAAGCGTCGACGGGCACACTTTGATTGAGACAAAAGGGTATGCACTGGTGGGGGGATCAACAATAATTATTCTTCAGAAAGGAGGAGTTCAACAACAACAACAACAACAACAACAGCAACAGCAACAGCAACAGCAACAGCAACAACAACAACAACAACACCAACATCAACAACGTCAACGTCAACAACAACAGCAACAACAACAGCAACAGCAACAGCAACAACAACAACAACAGCAACAGCAATCATGTTAGACTGTTCGCTCTTACTGGCACGCGTGTCATGCATTTCGCATACCCCAACCCCCGATACCCGCCCACGGCGTCTTCGATTGCACCCTCTTTCGGGGGGAATCTCTTCCTTGTCGGCCACTGACGAACATTCGAAGAAGTCTCGAGCGAGCGCCGTTCCTGAGTTCGGGGGCCTCTCTGGCCAGGGGCTCTCGGAATACCTTTGGATGAATATCGAACGGGAGCCCTTGTCCCCGTGTCCTGGCCTCAGACTCGAGCGAGAGCGCCGTTCATGAGTTCGGGGGCCTTCTTGGCCAGGGGCTCTCGAAGTGAATCGTGAAGAAATATCGAGCAGAAGTCCCTGTCGTCGTGGCTGGGCCTCCGCCAACTTGGGTTGAATGCGAGGAAGTCTCGAGCGAGAGCGCCGTTCCTGAGTTCGGGGGCATCTCTGGCCAGGGTCTCGGGGTGAAGTGTGAGGAACTATCGAGCAGGAGCACATGTCGTCGTGGCGGGGCCTCCGCCATCTTGATAGAATTGCGAGGAAGTCTCGAGCGAGAGTGCCGTTCCTGAGTTCGGGGGCCTCTCTGGCCAAGGTGTCGCAGGGTAAATTGTGAGGAAGTATCGAGCGGGAACCAATGTTGTCGTAGCTGGGCCTCCAAGGGCCCACATTTAGGCTCAAGCCAACGCTCGAGGCGAGAGCGCGCGGAACCGCTTCCGGAGATAAATAGTAATTATCATTTAGAAATGAACAAACAACAACAACAACAACAACAACAACAACAACAACAACAACAACAACAACAACAACGACGACAACGACGACGACGACGACAACAACAGCAGCAGCAACAACAACAGCAGCAGCAGGAGCAGCAGCAGCAATAACAATAACAATAACAACAACAATCAGTTTAAGACTGTTCGCTCTTATTGGCACGCCTGTCTTGCATTCCGTATACCCCAACCCTCGATACCCGCCCAATTCGTCTTCGATTGCACCCCCTTTGGTGGAGAATCTCTTCCTTGTCGGCCACCGACTGAAGTGCGAAGAAATCTCGAGCGAGAGCGCCGCTCCTGAGTTCGGGGGTCTCTCTGGCCAGGGGCTCTCGGAATACCTTTGGATAAATATCGAACGGGAGCCCTTGTCGCCGTCTGGGCCTCCACCAACTTGCCTGAATTACGAGAAAGACTCGAGCGAGAGCACCGTTCCTGAGTTCGGGGGCCTTCTTGGCCAGGGGCTCTCGAAGTGAATCGTGAGGAAGTATCGAGCACGTGCCCTTGTCGTCGTGGCTGGGCCTCCATCAACTTGGTTGGATTGCGAGGAAGTCTCGAGCGAGAGCGCCGTTCCTGAGTTCGGGGGCATCTCTGGCCAGGGTGTCTCGGGGTAAATTGTGAGGGCGTATCGAGCGAGAGCCGTTGTTGTCGTAGCTGGGCCTCCAAGGGCCCACGTTTAGGCTCAAGCCAACGCTCGAACGGGAGCCTCGTTGTCAGAGAAAATGTAGCCGGCGTCGAGGCGAGAGCGCGCGGAACCGTTGACGGAAATCAGCAATATTCATGTTTTGGAATGGGCACTCAACAACCACACCACCACCAACAACAACAACACCAACAACGACGACGACGACAGCAACAACAACAACAACAACCACAACCACAACAAACACACCAACAACAACACCTCCACCACCAACAACAACAACAACGACAACCACAACCACAACAAAGACACCACCACCACCACCACCACCAACAACAACAACAACAACATCAACAACGACAACAACGACAACGACAACGACAACGAAAACGACAACGACAACAGCAACAACAGCAACAACAACAACAACAACAACAACAACAACAACAACCACAACTCGCCGCGCCAGGCGGGGCCACAGGGTTCGAGAAGCCCAAGACCTTCAAAATGTAGGCTCCAACTGCCACTTCCTCGCGACGGCCGCTTCCACGGCCAATCTCTGCAATCCTTTCGCGGCCCTGGGGGCGTCGGGACCCCTTCCGGCAGCTAAGAGATCGACGCGAACGTGTTGACGGCGGCACCACTGCCCCGCTTGCGTCCCCCCATTCCCTCGCACCTGGTCGCGGGGAGGAAGCCACGACGGACACCCTCGCCACGCCTCTTGCGAGGCCGAGGCCGAACGTCTGGAGGCCATGTGGGCTTCCGCTCGCCCCTCTTGCGGAAAAAAAACCCAAGGGAGGTCCTGGCTCAGGGTTTATCGACGTGGAGCCAGCGACACATCGCCGATGGATCGGCGACATACTGCCGACAGCGAGGCCGCGCGATCCTGGGCGAGGCGACCTGGGGCGCCAGGCCTCGATCGAGGCGGAATGGGCGATCGGGGGTGAACGTCCCCCCCCCCCCCTGGCCCACTCCCTCCTGCCTCTTGCGCTCGGCGAGCGTGCCACCGCCGGCCGCCGAGCGCGGCCGCGGGCGGGAGAAGGCGGCGGCGGCCAAGGCCCGCAGCGAAGGCGGCGGCGGGCAGGCGGCAGCCAGCAGCACGGGGGCGAGAAGCCAGCACGGATGATCCGTTCGGCATCGCTCGGGCGACCCTCCCTTGGATCCAACAGGAGACCTCCCCTGCAGGTCGCCCCCAACCCTCCCCGAGGGCCCTGAGGCCCGAGGCGGCCCCCCAGAGGCCGATCTCGAGGACGAGCGTCTGGAGACCTCCCTTCGGAGGCTGGGCGAGGGCTGGCGGCTGCTAGAGCCGCCTTCCCGGAAGAGGAAGAGCCGAATTATCCCCAAAACAAAACACAGCGCACAAACTAGTAAACGGGCTGCTTCCCGGAAAGAAGAAACAATTTCCCGGAACTCCGTTTTAGCAGCCACGGGTTTGCCAGCCTTCGCACGGCTTCTGATCCCTGCGCATCGCCCCCTCTCATCCCCCTCACCCAGCGCGTGTCGCGTCGCCCCCCCCCCCCCCGACACTCTCAAGTCGGCGGCGCAGAGGAGCCTCAGGCGCGATCAGCAGATGGAAGTGTTAATTGCGAACGATCTTAGTCGTAACGCGCAGTAAAGGAAACGCCAAACACTGCAGTGCAACAGATTGGTGAAAGTGAGGACTGCACGTGAACTCAAGGTATGCTAATGCCAACAAAACGATGAAACAATCGCTCGGCTCCCCCCTCCTCACACACACACACACACCCAAAGTCGTGGGGCCGAAGGAAGCCACCCAGGCGCCGCTGATCTCGAGGACGAACGTCGGGAATCCTTTGTGCATGTCGACGCCCCCCTTCTTGGCCCCCAAAGGCCGATCTCAAAAACGAACATCCGTCCCCGACAGTCCTGGGGACCGAAGAGGCGCCCCAAATGCCGATCTCGAAAGCGAACACAAGGAAACCTCCCTGCGTACCACACCCCCAGTCCCCTCCCCTCAGCGCTCGACGGCGCAGCCTCGATCGTGGGGGCCGCGATGGAGGCGATGACGCCGTGCAGCTGGCTCCTTCAAGGAGGAAGGGCGTAAGGACGACGCTCGGGGGGAGCGGGGAAGCGGAGGAGGAACGAATAAGGGGAGAAAACGAGAGAGAGAGAGAGAGGGAGAGCGGGGGTGGGTGCAGCGAGGGAGGAGGCAGGGAGGAGGCAGGGGGGAGGAGGCAATGGGAACAACGCAGGGGGAGCGAGGGAGGGGGGGAGGGAAAGGGGGGGGAGGGAAGGAGAAGCGGAGGGGGGGGGGTCGGCAGTAGTGGTGGGGGTGGGGGGGGGGGGCGAGGCATGAGAAAGGGGGAGTGGGGGGAGGACTGACGTCGAGAAAACTGCAGCCTCCCGTCCGTCCTGAGCGCTGGGGCGTTCGCGACCGCCTTCGCGACCAGGAGCCCGACCTCCTCTGGCTTGCCTGCGGGGGGGGCGGGCGGGGGGAGAGAGGCGGGGAGGGGGAGGAGGGCAGGGGGAGGAGGAGGAGGAGCAGCAGGAGGAGCAGCAGGAGGAGGAGGAGCAGCAGGAGGAGGGGGAAGAAGAGAGAGGCCAGGGGGGGGAGCCGGGGAGCGAGGGCGCCAGCAAACCACGGTCCGCCCCCTCCCTCCCTCCTGCCCCAAGGCGGCGGGCATGCACTGCACGCTCGCCGCTAGCAGCGGCGGAAGCCTTGGAATCTGAAGCCTCCACGAGCCTGCACAGGCGGAGGGCCCCAGGCACAGACACGTCGGGAGCGTCGCACGGCGCAGTTCTGACCTCGCGCCCCCGGGCGGGGAGGGCACGGGAAGGAGAAGAGGGAGGAGGATTTGGGGCAGGGAAGGGGGGAGGCGCGAAGCGCGCGGGAGAGGGGGGGGGAGGCACGGCAACCGCATCTCGTCGAGGAGGGAGGTGGGGGAGATGAGGCGAAGAGGTGGATGAAAGGGTTCGGGGAAGGGTTCGGGGGGGAGCTCTGGGAGGTTCTGTGCAGGGCTTGGGCTTGTTAGGGAGCAGCACCACTGGACGTCGTCGTCGCCGCCAGCCTCTGCTCAACCTCCCTTGACCTCCCTCCACTTCCCTGCTCCTCCCTTCCCCTTCCCTCCCCTTCTCCCTCCATCCATCCTGAACACCCCGCCCTTCCAGTCCCGAATGCACCCCAATACAAGAGACGAGGAGGAAAAGCGGGGGAGGAGGGGAGGGAGAGAGGCAAGGAGGGAGAGCCAAGCGCCAGTGCCGGTACGCCATTCTTTCACAAGAATGTCAAAGTCGGCCTGGCCGATTCGAGCAACACGGACGACAGGGTGGTCCCCAACGACACCCATCACGTCGAGCAGGCTGACGAGCGGCTGCTGAATATCGCCCTCGTCGCCGTCGAAGCCCTCGCAGACCGCGACATATCTGGCCACTTCCTGCAGGCTAGGTTCCACGACAAGTGAATCGGCTCGGGTGCAGTGGCAACCTAAGCCGTGACGTACCGCCTCTGACTCACCGAGGTGTTCTAAACCGAGCGGAGAAGCCTTGCACCAAAATGGTCACGGATCCCGCGCGGGGTGCGCAATCACACCCTACCTCCCTTGCGCTCTGCCACTGCTTTAACTGCACACGCGTGTTTCGACTGCCAAGACAAAGGTCCATCCCACCCCAATCTCGTCGCCCGCGGGGCTTGTATTTTTCCCCCGCCCTACAATGGAAGTCCACGGAAGCGGCAGATCGGTGGTGGCAACTCAGTCTACGAAGGAATGATAGGAATATGATGATGATGATGATGATGATGATGATGATGATGATGATGATGATGAGGATGATGATGCTGAAGATGTTGCTGGTGATGATTATGATGATGATGATGTTGATGATGATGCTGATGATGATTATTATGAGGATGATGAGTATGATGGCGATGACGACGATGGTAATGATACTAATAATGATGATGATAATGGTAAGGATGATGAGGATGATGAGGATGATGGTTCTGATGCCACGTTACGATTCGCTTAGGATGGTGAGGATGATGGTGTGGTGATGCTGATGCTGGTGATGCTGATTATTATGTTGATGATGATGATGTGATGATGATACTGGTGATGGTGACGATGCTGCTGTTGATGATGATGATGCTGGTGGTGATGATGATGTTGATGATGATGACGATGATGATGATGATGATGATGGTACTAATGATGCTGATAATGTTGCTGATGACGATTCTGATGACAGCGATGGTGAGGACGACGATGATGATCCGAATGGTAATATTGATGGTGATGATGATGCTGATGTGGATGCTGATGATGATGCTGATGCTGATGATGATTAGTCTGATGTTGAGTATGATGATGCTGATAATGATGATGATCATGAGTATAGTGATACTGATGATGATGATGACTTCGACGACGATGGTGATGATACAGATGATGATGATGATGATGATGATGATGATGATGATGCTGATGATGATGATGATGATGATGATGATGATGATGGTGGCTGTGATGATGATGTTGTTGTTGCTTATGATAATGATGGTGATAATGATGATGCTGGTGCTGGTGCTGGTGCTGCTGGTGCTGCTACTGCTGCTGCTGCTGATGATGATGATGTTGATGATGATGATGATAATGATGATGATGATGATGATGATAATGATAATGATGATGATGATGATGATGATGATGATGATGATGATGATGATGATGATGATGATGATGATGAGGATGATGAGGATGAGGATGATGATGATGGTGCTGCCATGATGCGATTCGCTTAGGATGCGTTCCAGGAATCACACCAGCCCTCTGGGCGTAGGTGGTCCAACGATGTTTCTCTTCCCTCATCCAAAACCATCGCCTCTTCGGGGAGGGGTCCCCTCCCCTTCCTGAGGTGTTCTAGGCGGCTCTTCGATGTGTGAGAGGTTATGGATTCGCCCTAGACGGCTCCAAGAAAGCTGGCTATGCTCTAAGATGGCCCCCGAGATGGCTGAGGATAGCCGAAGGTGGCTCAAGATGGCTTCAAACATGCTCCGAGAGGCCCCAACGACGGCTCCAAGACGGCCACAAGTTCGGAGCCCCCTCAGAGGACCTCACCGAAAAGGCAAAATCGCTCAAGCACCAAAGGAAGCGCCATGATGTTCGCCATCTCGCCTTTTCGCTTCCGATTGGCTTCTGAGGCCTCAAGATGTCCCCAAGATGGCCCAAGAGAGGCCCAAGAGGCCCCCAAGACGGCCCCAGGAGGGCCCATGGCCCCAGATGGGAAGGACCTTCGAGTACCCAAGATTGTCCCAAGAAGCTCTCAAGGGCTCCCAAGAGGGCCCCAAGACCCAAGACCCCCCAAAAGAGTCCCAAGGGGGCTCAAAAAGATCCTCCAAAGAGGGCCCGAAGAGGGTCCCGAGACAGCCCCCAGAGGATGCCAACGAAGTCCAAAGAATACCCCAAAATGGCTGCCAGAGTCCTTCTCCTTGTCCTCGCCGTCCTCTTCCTCTCCTCCTCGTTCCCGTGCTCGTCCTCTTGCTCCGTCTCCCCCTCGTCCTCCTCCTGCTCCTCCTCGTAATTCCCTCTCTGGGCAGATGTTCCACTGCACGCTACTGCACTTCCCTGAAGAAGGCAACTCGCCTGGGCATCGCTTCAATTGGGGATTCCCAAAACCGTGTGGTGACAGACCGTGCGGTGACCTCGGAACCCCAAGAGACCTCACAGCACAGTCCGTCACCGCATGGTCTGGGGACCCTGGAGGACCCCGTCGCCCGAGACATCCTCGGAGAGGGACCCGAGTCCCAAAACCGTGCGGTGATCCCGAATCCCCACCGACTCACTACAAGGTTTGATCACCACCCCTTAACGGGCGAAGAATGGTATATGATAAACTGATTCGCTGTCGGGGGCGCCTGTCCCAGGGCGCCTGGAAAGTTCATACCCTTGCGGTGGCAACGTAGGGGTATAACTTTCCAGCCGCCCATGGGCAGGCGTCCCCGACGGCGGAACAGTTCATTTCACACCGTTCCTCGCCCGCTGAACCCCGTTTGGGGGCCCCCGACTCAAGCTCCCATCCGCCCGCTTCCCCATCTCGGAGGCGGGAAGAAAACTCCCCGGAGCATCTGGCGGCCCCTCGCTCCTGCAGCCCGTGCGGAGCACGCGCAGGGCATCGTGGGAACCCTGGGAATCGTGCAGCGTCGTATCTATAGAAAGGGGCCCAGGGACGCACAAGCAAGTAGACACGACTCCCAAGATTCCCCATATTTTCCCATACTGTCTGGGTTTTCGTCTCCCCCCCACTTCCCGTATTTTCCTGAATTTTCCTGGGAGTCGACGATTCAGTGTTTCTGTGCGTCTTTCCCCTGCTGATTCTAGAGGGAGCAAAAAAAGCATAAACATAGACTTTTGGCGCTCTGCGCGGATTTCTTGGATCCGCGCTGGGCCCCCCTCACTGGCGCGCGGAGCAAGCAAGGGGCGGCGCCAGCGGCACCGCTGGGGGGTCCAGCGCGGATCCGAGAAAGGAGCAGGAGGAGGAGGAGGAGAAGGAGGACGAGGAGGAGGAGGAGGACAGGGAGGAGGACAGGAGGAGGAGGAGGAGGAGGAGGCGGAGGAGGACAGGGAGGAGGACAGGATGAGGAGGAGGAGGAGGAGAGGAGGAGGAGGAGGAGGAGGAGGAGGAGAAGGCCTCCTGCTCCTGCTCCCCCGAGCCAAGGCCGAAGGCCCCCGAGGGCTTCCCCCGGCAGCCGAAGAAAGCGCCGCGCTTGTTGTCCCCCCTCCGACGGCCGCGCGGCGGCCGCCGCCGCGCCTAGGGCCAGGAGCGACGCGGCGGCCATGGCCAGAGCCTCGGGGGCGCGGACGACGACGAGGACGAGGACGAGGACGAGGACGAGGAGGAGGAGGAGGAGGAGGAGGACTATGCAGGACTATGCATGACGGGCGACAACGACAGTCGACTCCGCTGGGTATCGGGGAGCCCTGCTGGATGGCGCTCGTGATCTTTTACTGGCCTCCCGAAGGGCGTCGCATCACTAAGCC